TGACAGAAATATGAAACAGTTGTGGGAAAATCATTTGGTTACCAGTCTCAACTGTGTGGTAGAATACACCCAATACTTTAAATAGGCACCTCTGTTTCAACCCATTCTAAACAGTCTGGGGGATATGAATCCTTCCACGGACCAATCAATCCTTAAAAATAAAATTAAACTCTTTTTGAAACCAAAAATGAAAGACATCCTGACTCGTAAAGATATGCCCGAAGCAGAAAGTGACAGTGAATCTGACATGGCTATTGATGATGATGATGATGATGATGATGATGATGAGCAATCAAGAATAATATATATCTGTGTGTTCAGGACATCTCTTTGTCAGTCGAATCCCACGAGTGGAAAGAAGAGGATGCGATCTCAACCCAGGTCAAGATTGATTCATGTCTTGAAAACACCTCATAAACTCAAATGCTCAAATGGTAAGACGAAGGAGAAGAAAATTTCCATATACGTGAGAGGACTCTTAACACTGGGACCCCCTGGAGTGAAATCGTTAAGAAAACTCAATCCATCCGACGGGAAATAACTTCTTACTATTGTGGAATTGTGTCTCTCTGATGAAGCAGGCGGGGTTTTTTTAACACATGGATGTGTGAAATTATTTGTGTACGACACCTCAGCGCTAATGATGATGCCGAGACGCTGAAGGTGTTACATGGATTTAGGAATTATCTATGCAACATGTACCGAATAGAATACAGTTTATTGTATATGTAAATTATATCGTTGAGAATATATGTTAACTTGCATCACAGCTTTGGTTTCAATAAAAATATAGCTTATAGCTCATGCACGTTGTTTGGGTTTTTCTCTCAGTAATGGTACAGTAAAGGCTTACCCACACGTAAAACACCGACTCATAAGATGGTGTTAACCCGGACAGCGGGTCATGCGGACGGGATCTAATAATTTCAAAATACAGTCAACCTACTGAGTCAACAATCTAAGATAATATATAAGATTGTATCCATGTTATGGTTCATGTCTTTATAGCATATAGTTAACATTGCGACAGCGAGAATATATTGACACAACACCCGTCCATTGAATTCATTGATAACAGATATACATGGAATGCACAATACTAAATCTATTACATACCACTGTTCATGTCTTTATTTACATATTTATTTATTTATCTGTATTACTGATACAGTGATACACTTTCTCTGATGACATTCGATGCGATACACACTAGGCACTCAATATGAAACGAATAGGAAGGCAAAATTGTATGTATTCAAATGGTTATCATATCCACATTTTCACGGCGAATGTAGACGCTAAGTCTACGAAAAAAACGAAAAAAACTACATGAGGCCTAGGTTAAATATTCATATCTGGAGACTGAAAAAGAATGACTTTTTATATATATTTATTGGAGAGAAAAAAGAATGACTACCTGGAAAGGAACCTCAAAGAAACTGGGCTAAAAATCTAGACTTGCTTTCGGGAAGATATCACGTTTTGGCTTATAGTATGAAGTGAAAGGGAGACTGAGAGTCAGGCTGTATAAGTGCTCACGCAAGCGAAAGGACTATAGGTGCTCAGTCAGGCCTGACCTATATAGAGCTGTGTTTCGAATGGGGTATTTTCCACTGTACTTGTGAACGAGTCTATAAGCTTATGGTGTTACATATTGAACATATCACGTTCTGATGTTTCTTATCTATAATTCTTATTGTACATGGGTTCATTCGCTGTCAAAGTTTATGACATGATAATCATACCCACATCACACTCACCATACCAGTTGGTCCCTGCCTGGCGTTCGGCATTAATGGGTACAACAAGAACTGGTCGGCTCGGAGTCAGTGTACTGTGTCTGTGTGGGGTATTCATGCTTAACTGCGGCATGGTATCTCAGTGACAAGCAGCCACACATACACACGCATGCACGTCGTCATATGAGCGAAATATTCTTAAGTGAGACGTTAAACCCCATTTCACCTCAACTCACCATACCAAGACATGTCTCGTCTACTTCTCTCCATTGCTTTTTATGATATTCTGTGGAAATATATTCTCATATAAAGTTAGTGGAATCTGTTTGTATCGCTCCACGAATATTCAGACATTTGTATAGTGGCGAAATTATTAAGCCCTGTAATAATTGTGACATATACCCTGAGATATATATTATAGTGTATATGTAACTCCGTGCAATGACCTCTTATTTATAAAAAAACAACTAAACAAAACTGGATATGTACGCTTACTATGGAGAGTGCTGTGTTTGCTTTGTCACACATAGCATGTGAACACGGGTGCTACGTGGTATGGCTACCCAATCACTATATTCCGCGTATTGTTTGGCTATATCCCTCAATCCCAGGGTGTGTGTGTGTGTGTGTGTGTGCGTGTGTGTGTGTGTGTGTGTGTATGTGTGTGTTTGTTTGCATATCTATATCGTCGAGTAGTGAGGGTACACAATGGTTTTCTTTCGCTTAACGCTTTTTTTATTACATTGCTCTCGTGCTGGTTGTATGGGGACGGTGTGGCGTCAGCGATTATTTCTGCTTCGTTGACCTAAGGAAGTCGCGCAATGTTAATTCTCCATTGGAAAATGTCTGGCAAAAGCCGATATTTTAGATAATACAGCAGCGATATGGCGCGCAAACTGGGTATCTCGCTTATGAACCTTCTCCAATTGGCGATGACAGATCCTTCGTTTACCGACGACAGCCCTTGTTGGAATGTCTCGCGTTTCGTTGATGTCATATCTTGGAAAATAGTGAGTGAGTTATTATTTAACGTCACATCGGCAATATTTCAGCCATATCGTGACGAGAACATGTGACATTGAAATGGAAGATATGTATATTATAAAAAACCTGTCGAGGAAGGACAGTAAAACAACTAGAATATCACAATTACAACTAAAACTAGTGTGGAGAGTTAAAACTAATAGCACTATTTGGACAATACAATATAAAAAGTGGCTATAGATCGCCAACAACTGGAGGTAGATCACCAAACTAGGGACCATGTCTTGGAAAATAACGACGAAGTATGCCAGTGTTAGAAGACGATTCAGTGTTCGCGTAATAATGGCCGACTCGATCTCGTCAGTATAATGATTTATAGCTTTTGTGTAACTCCGGGCAATATAACCTTTTATGCGGCAGAAATGTGAATATATGGTTAATAGTGCGCGTTGTCTCTTTTGTTTGCTGCAAATGCTCATAGCAATGACATCCGGGTGCTGCTTATAGAGACCACTCAGACTCTATTATGTCTCGTATACTCTTTAGTAAGCAATATATTGTGCCTCTCTTTGTCGCTGATGTGAATAGCCCCGCGGAGTTTTTGACGCGCGTGGTGTGACGTCACTGGGTTGGTTCGTTCCGCTTGACTTGCCGAGGTAGTAACTCCCATGTTAAAACTCCATAGGAAAATGTTGGGATAAAGCCTACTTCAGCACTACTGTGGTAATCCCAGGGGTCCTTTAGATTACCGAGGCATTTCCTTAATCAGTATTCCTTGTAAAATTTATTCAGACATATTGAATGCTAGGTTTTCTGCTTGGCTTGAATGTAATGAGGTTTTGGCAGAGGAGCCAAACGGTTTTCGTAAGTATAGAAGTACAGTTGACAGTATTTATACTTTGTTTTCTGTTATAAGCAATAGGAAAATGCCGAAAGATTCAACTTTCGTTTGCTGTATTGATGCTATGAAGGCCTTCTATCGTGTGAACAGAAATTGTCATTGGTATAAACTTGTCAAACTTGGTATTAGTGTCAGATTCTTTTTTGCAGTGAAATTTTTGTATGATAATACCCAATCCTGTGTTAGTGTTAATGGATATTTATCACAAGATTTCTCCGTAAACAGTGTTGTTAAACAGGGCTGCGTTTTGTCGCCAACATTATTCTCGTTGTTCATAAATGATTTGGTGGATGAAATCAATCAGCTGAATTGTGGTATTCAGATCAACGCCAATTTCATGCTTCGTGTTCTTCTTTACGCAGATGATATTGCGCTCATTGCAGGAGATGAAGATTCTTTACAGCCTATGTTAGATTGTGTCAATCAGTGGTGTAGAAGATGGCGTTTGCAGATTAATGCTTCGAAGACCTAAATAGTTTCATTATAGACCTGTCTCTATGGCAAGAACAGAGTTCAATTTTCTTGTGGCAATGATGACATCGATGTATGTAACGCCTATAAATATCTTGGACTGTGGTTACAAGAACACCTTGATCTTAATTTCACTGCAAAGGAAATCGCTAAGTCTGCTGGAAGAGCACTGGGTATTTTAATTAGTAAATTCAAAGCAGTTGGTGGGATGCATTATGATGTGTTTAACAAACTTAATGATAACTTACTTCAACCAATACTGTCGTATGGCTCTGCTGTTTGGGGAACACGTGAATTCAGTTGTATCAATGCTATCCAAAATAGGGCATGTCGTTTCTTGTTGGGTGTAGGTCGTAATACCCCGAACATAGCCGTAAGAGGCGAGATGGGTTGGTTTTCTAACCTCACAAAACATCGTATTGAATCTGTCAGTTATTGGAAACGCCTACAGTCTTCTAGGCCCGATAGTATTATAAGCAATATTCACAACTGGTCATTGTCCTTCCGTAAGCCATGGGATAACAAAGATCTACAAGATTTTATGTATTATGTAAACATCTGCATGACACAATAATAACATAATTTCTCACTGTCGTATGACTACTGGGGTTACACCGACCCAACCAGTTGTGACACGGTCACGCAGTGCAGGTCAAGCTGAACAAGCTGTTAAGTTCTTTGCGTTATTGATCTACCCATGTTTTACGTATTTCAAACTTAAACATTTCCTAGAATAGCATTGCTATTCTCCCCACAACCGCCACGCACACAGGAAAGGGAGAACGGAATATGTTTATTATCAACTCATGCTAGAAGCCATGTTTAATGTAAATACCTTATATGGAAACCGGAACTATGACAGCCAACTCAGAGCAGTCGGTTGCAAGCTTTATAAATTTGTGTAAGTACGCTGAAGACGAGGTGATACGATGGAGGGACACAAGAAGAGGAATCGTCATTATGCACCACTCACACCCTCTCCAGAAGATACCGGTAAGACTTGGAAACTGAATCGATGCACTTATTGCTGCAAAAACGATTCTGCCTGTTGGTATTTTTGACACGGGGAAATCATACTCTTAAATATTATTTCCTGAGGCCTGTATTTTACATATTATTGCGTTTTATTTTATGTTTTATCAGGGAGACTATATAAATATGTTCATTTCAGAGACTATATGTTAGTCCAAAGCATACATCCATGATAATAGTGTATTGAGTTTTGTCAAATCTTTGTCAGAAACTGGTCAGAGTGAGGGGATTTCCTAGACAATTGGGTTTCCAGTCTGAGAATTTAATTGTGATGGATTATATATACTTATTATATATTATAAATTGAAAGGACAAGGTATGATAAGGGTGGTTTTGGGCCCACAAACAAAATTGGCTGAACACATTTTATTTGTTTAGAGACAAGATGGCTTTGCATAAAAAAAGTATTTTTTAAATGATCTGAGGCCGTAATTTCAATGTAGAGGGGCCCAACATGGGTTTTATCAGTTCCCATGAAAAATAACAAGAAGTCTGAAATATCAGTGTGCCATAATGACTTATTTACAACTATGAGTTTATTAACATACAAATGACATCAGTTTTACAAGTATTCATGATGAAGAAACATATCAATATCAATCAAAAGGTTTTAACTTCAAGGGGCCCAATTAGGGTTGCAAATTTGGGTCTAATTACATTTTGGGCACAGCTTGATTTTAACAAGTAAGTGTTAAAAGTCAGTATTCACAACCAGTTTTAGCAAATATACAGTAAACCAATTAGTTATTACAATAACCAATCATGTTGCACTAAAAATCACAGGTCTTGACCTCAAAGGGGGCTATTTTGGGTGAAATTACATTCTTGGCACAGCTTGATTTTAACACCATGTAAGCGTTAAAAGTCACTATTCACAACCATTCTTGCAAACATACAGTAAATATCTCATTCACAACATGATGTTACAATAACCAATCATGTTGCACTAAACATCAAAGGTCTTGACCCCAAAGGGGTTCATTTCGGATCACATAAGATTCTTGGGACAGCTTGAATTTAACACCATGTAAGTGTTAAATGTCAGTATTCAAAAATCTTCCAAAAAGTAATTATTCACAGCTCATTCACTGCAGAGATATAAAACATCCACTTTCACTCTTCATCCACATGGTCTTCAATCTCTTGGTCTTGGTCTTGTCTTGGTGTCTGCCATACCCAGATCTTCTCAACTGAAAAACAGATGAATTTATGTCAATAGAAAATTCTGTTTTAAAAACTTTGATAATCTATTCAAGGGTAACATTACTTATTTTCACACCACTAATTAACAGCTCTGGGCAATTTGTAAATATTTACTCAAAGAAATTACCATACTAACATTTTGAAACAATGCTTACCTTCTCCATGTTCTTTATTGTGTGGGAACAAAGGGATATGAGACAGAGTGGAACAGTCAGTGTCTTGAGGCTTAAAAATGATTTACATGATATTAATTCAAGTTTGTTTGAACAGTGTAACACAGATTACCAAACTTAAGAATTGTATTTATAAAATTTGGATTTCATGTGTAGAAATTAAGTTAAACATTGTAAATTGGCTGACCAAACTTTTGAAAAAAAAGAAAAAGAAAAAAGAAATTACCAGGATTTGAACCTGCATGTCTGATAATAGATAAAATTGACAAGCCATCATTGTAACCAGTAGGCTATATACTCTACTATTACCACTTGTCACTTTAAGCTTATATATTACACCTTGCAACCATGTGTCACTTGGTATCTGTTATCTGATTCTAACCATCATCTTTTCATACAGTTAAAGGTCACATGCAACCAAAAACTCAAACATAATTAAAACACAATTATCACTTCTTCATGACATATAATATGCATTGCTGATTATGAAAAAACAAATAAACAAAATTATAAGCGTATAATCGCAAATCAAAAGTGCAATATTTTGTACTTGGGTTTACCTCCCTCGAAACGAAGCAGCCGGGATACCGAACCCAGTCAGACCGGGTGGGTGTGCACTCAAGTGTAACGGCTGGTTCATTTGCAGATGCCGCCTTCACGGCTCATTGTGTGTGTATATATAGAGATGTTGGGTTTTGTAAATACATGCTCATTTTCTGTGTATAACATTTTGCAATCAACAGACATCATAACATGTCATGTGTTCAAGTATCACACCTGCCTGTCTGTGTAATTACATAATGTGACAGAGACCGAACTCGGGCCATAAATCAAATTGCATGTGGTCAGTGATCGCAGTTGTGTATTGAATATTGTCATTAGCAGACAGGCAGGCAGACACACAGGTGTCAATAAAACAAGACATTGAGTTTTGTCTGTGACAACGACATATCTATATCACAGTTAGAAATTGTGTCAACGCTAAATAATGACATTGCTTTTAAGTATCGAACTGAGAAAGTGACTCGGTAAGAAGAACGTGTGGTGAAATAGACAAATGAAATTATATAAACAGTTAATTTACTGTCATAACATATAAAAAGCTCGCGCCTGTGAGATATCAACAAAACATTAGGAAAATAGCTCACACCAAAGCCTTCACCGAGTATTCACCAGACAGCCCGCTTCCAAGTTGCGCGAACCTATTTCACTGCGCACATGCTATGAGCGCAGCCCAGCTGTTGTAACCCGTTTTCCCCCGAAATTGTCGGGGGAAAATTAGTGAATCGTTTGAACTCCGATTTCGCGCGGTTTTTTTCATCGCGTTATTTTTCAACTTTATAAGTTGAATTTGCATTTTTTGACGATTTGTTTCGGTACGTCCACTACGAAAGGTATCAGAATCTGCAAAGTTGTGTTTTACGTTGCATGTGACCTTTAAGTATAGTCATTTTGGTTAAAGGTAATCTAATATATCTTAGAAAACATCAAGATACATTATTTTTGTTAAAATGTGTATGTTTATACACAGTTACAGTGACAGGTGACTCAGAGGTGTTTGATATACAGATGATAGAACAAATATGATAAAATTCTAGAATAATTACAAAGATTCTTACCTTTAGAATGCTGCCTGATCATATTCTGAAAAATCTTCTGATGTCTTCTTACTTTTCCAGCAGAGATCAACAGGGTCTCCCAAAAACTACCCTTGTTTACCTCAAAGTAATCAGCCTTGAGAGTCCCTTCTGATATTGAAAATGTTTAATAAACATGTTTGAAAAGTTCATTTTAGTGCTCTTAAACATTCAAAATAAATATTGAATCATGGTATAGTTGTGTAAATGTGACGGATAGTTTTCAAAGATATTACTTTAGGCCAATGTTTATTTTTTTTTGAGATGTTGTATGGGGCAATTTCATATAACAGATTTTTTTACTTTTTAAACATTTTGATATGAGCAAAAGCGTGACCCACCACCATTTTTTAGGTGTGCATTCTAATTTACTCTCTTCATGTGTGGTGAAAAAATTGGGATGGGTCATGCTTTTGCTCACACTTTTTTTCACTCTGAAAATAAGAAAATGTAGGTTTTTAGAAGATATTGTAAACTAGGTTAACTTTGAGGTCTTCAAAGAGGGGAAAAAACAGCACAAAAACATAAAAAAAAGCAATTGGAGGTAATTTCAACAAATTATTTAGCCTTCTTTATGCTAAAATTATCATGTTGTAGAACTTTGAATATCATGAAATTTTGTGGGCCAATAAGGGCCTTTATCATACCTTGTCCTTTACGATCTCGAGGCTGTGGCCAAGTTCCGCGGAAATATCCCCCATTGAAATATCTCTTTTGGGCATTTCTTTTGGACAATTCTATAAAATTTCTCATTTGTTGAAAATGATACTGACAGTTCATGTATCATTGTTTATCTGTTGTAGCATAGCTTGAGGCTTTCATGTTGCGTATTGGTTTTCCGAACTGGAAGAGGCATTTATTTACCTGGAAGTGATCATAACCTTCTTATTAAAATATCTGACGGAAACTATCTTCCGAAGAGGCAAGCATGCATAAAGAAGAAACGAACAATGATTTGGAGAACAAAGGGCGCAGTTTATTACAAACACTGGTAGGGCTTTTATAGGCTAACGTCACGTGACGTACGTCGGTTAGCTGCACCGAGAGTTACCTCCCCTAGACCGTGCTCTCGGATAAGAATGGGATTTATCAATCATTATGATTTATTGCTAAATTAATATATGTTTCAGTCTGGAAGACATCCTACAGTGGATATGTGTTTCACAAACTGGTGTTGATTTGTTTTCATTCAAGTGCTGTGTTGTCTTAGTCTGTTGGTGTTGACATATCACCTAGAGATATAGACATCAGCCACATAGTCTCCAGGTACCCACCCACACCCCAGTCTCAACCCAGGCCTATTATTGTCATGTTCCTTAGCAACGCTACAAAGTGGCAACTCCTGGGTCCACTTGCACAAAGCGATCTTATTGCTAAGGTGATTGTAACTCCCATACTTTAACACAGACTTACAATCATTGTAGCGCTAAGACCGCTTTGTGCAAGTGGATCCTGATCCAGAGATATAAGCTCAAGTACTCTAACAGGAGTAAGTCATACAAAGGATATTTCAAGAAAGATCGTACCAAAACCAGGGCAGTTTTAGCACGAAAAGCAAGAGATCTGCTTCTGGAGAAACGTGTTGAGGTCTCTTGGGTCACCGGTGGGGTCATTCTAATCAAACTGAAAGATGGTACTCTGAAGAAAGTGGCGACTAATTCTCTTTTCAAGATGTGTGTGAGTAAACCCGGCTCAAATGGTCACCAACCTTATTCAGGACCCTTCAGTTAAAACATCTGTGTGATCTCCTATCACAAACATGAATAGTGAGATAATCTATACCAGCCGACTCTAAACGCTACGGAATCTACAAATTGTGATTGTTGTTACAAACCATCAATGATAATATGGTTTGTTCAAAATGTTGATTGGTAAAATCTTCAATTAGATCCTTAACTTAACACATCTATGTGATCTCCTGTCACAAAAATGAATAGTGAGACAATCTATACCAGCCGACTCTAATACATTGGAATCCACCAGTTGTGATACAAACCATCATTGATACTATGCTTTTTAACACGTTAATTGGTAAAACATGTTGTTTCAACATTTTCCCGAATCTACAGATTATATCTAACATACCACATGAATGACTGATCATCAATTAATATGACTGACTTGACCATACTCAAGAAACATGCCTATGCTATATGTGCAGAACATTTTGTGTGAGCAGGCCTAATGTACATTAATGATGGTGTATTCCATATATGTGTGCATACACACTGCCATCTGCAAGTAGATCATGTGCAAAATACAAGTATGCAGAAACACAAACAATGTGTGAATGTCAACATATCTCTATTGTCACTTATTGTCATTATCCTTGCACTAAATTATTAGGGGTGGGTATTGCAGAGAATTTTCATATTGCGATATATTGCGATTCGAAAGCATATATTGCATAAGGTATTGCAATATATTGCAAGAATATTTTTTTCACCTTAAACCTACTTATAATCGAGTTAATGCTTGATTTATAAAGCAAAAACACAGCAAAATCACTATGCTTGATTAAGCTTTAATAAAAACTTTTTAATCATGTTAAAATGAAGGAAACAAGGAAACATCAACACAGTGGTTACTAGTTTGAACTAGTTTCTCCACTATCAAAAAAGCCCCGAGATTTTAGACAGCAACTTGACCTGGTCAGGACATATCAGGGATCACTGGTCTTAATGAGTAAATATAGAACGTTCAGATCAAAAACTTTGCGAAACACTTGAGCAAAAATTAAGAACTCAACTTCAAACCGAACTTAACTTGATTTCCGGTGTGAAAAACGGTAATATCCAAAGATTTCCGAGTGTTACGAAGTTTTCCGAATGCATGTCGAAAAACCGGTTTTCGATCCGGGTATCGCAATACGTATCGATTTCATGTCTGAACCGGTAAATACCGGTAAACCGGTTATATTGCGCAGCCCTATAAATTGTATCCTGATGAGATACCAATATACCTTATTTCAAAGGTTTTGATAATCTAATAATCAAAGGTTTGGCTATCTAGCTCATGCATACACTGCTGTTGGTAATCGTTATACATGTAGTACACAAAGATTGTAATATATTCTTTTGAATGTGCTCCTTGTGTGATTGGCTTCTCATTATATTTCACAAAGTGTGTAATGTTTTTCCTGAATGTAGTTCTATTTGTTTGGCTTAGTCTATTACACCAAGAGTTAATATATTTTCCTTTGAATGCAGTGTATAGATATGTTCAGCTTCTCATTATACTACACAAAGAGTGTAATATAAATAAATAATAAATATAAATAAATAAATATAAATATAAATAAATGTGTTTATTACATCATATTTTATTCGATCTTGACAGTGATGATATTACTACAATTCATCTCTTGTGTTGTTGTTGTTTTTAATCATTTATTGGGATGTTATTGAATCTATTAATAACATACTTTCCAGATACCGATGGATTAAAATGTTTAGTCATATATAAGATTAGAATATTGGTTTGCATTTTCACGTGCGAGTTGCACGTGTGAAATTGAAATTTCACTACACACGCTTGTTGATTACATGGTTGTTCTACCAGCAAGTACCCCATCCCCCCACCAACCCCTGGTACAAGATAGCGAACAGTGACAACCCAAAACTGATCGTTTGTTAAACAACTTTTTTATTCGGGTGTCCAAAATTATTAGACAAATCATCAGAGTTGGTCTGTCAATTCCATGTGAGAGTGCAGAATTTGGTTTTGTTGCAATTATTAGATCTTGTGTTAGTGAGCAATTCATCGGTCTCAAATGAAATCAAACGGACTGTAGGTTAAGCAATTATACTTATGTGTAGAGAGTATAAAATTATTATGCATTACTGGTCTTGAAGCGTTATGGGAAAATAACATGCAAAACTAGAAATTATCTCATCGGTACGTTTTACCGCGCGGACAAAAGCGAACAATCCTTGGATCTGATAGACCAATCAATCGGAATGGCGATCGAATTAATCATGTTTAATGTTATCGCCGGTAATTAAATATAGACATTCAAAATGAAAGTCACATTAAAGTTGAAACGCTAAATCGTCTGTCATAAATGCACCAACAAGAATTACGCTTAGCTCTGGCAGTTTACTCGATCCCCATATGCAGCGATCAAAGTCCAATTTTCTTAACGATAATAGATATAGTTACCAAGACTGATGCAGCAATTAAAAGAGCCATGTACGATTTTAAATGTACGCATAGAGACTGTTCAAATAGACTGGTCACTGCTAGAGCTAACGATCCTCATGGATGAATAGCGAAATCCGTTCCGCAATGCGTAAGCGAAACCGTTTTCATAAAATAGCTAAAACGCACAACCATCCTTCCGACTGTGCTAATTTCCGATCACTCAGAAAAAAAGTTGTCAACTTAATACGGTATTTTGAGAGAAAATGTGATTCAGAAATTGATGATAGGATAAATTCCTCGCTGGATACAAAAGCATGGTGGCGTATGGTAAAACAATATATTAAAAAAAGGTCTGAAAGTAACCACTTTCCACCAATCATATCAAATGACATTATCTACGACGACCCCAAAGACATTGCAAATGTTTTAAACGACTTCTTTGTTAGTCAGTCTACACTAAACAATCCAGATTTACAACCTCCCGAATGTCATTTTGAACATACTACAGTCCCACTTAATGTTGTCAATCTTACAGTTGATGAAGTTCAAGATATTCTCTCTCTCGATCCATCAAACGCTACAGGGCCAGATGGAATAGGAAATAGATTTCTGAAAGTCATGGCGAAATGTGTAGCTGCAATCTATATTAAGGTATTAATAAAAGCAAAGTTTTTCATGTTTACCAAACCATATTCTTTTCAGAATAAAAGTATGTATGTAAACCAAGTGCTGTCTCTGTTATTACAGAAGCTAGAGGCATGTGGCTGTTTGTTTCAAACTGAAATGAATTGACTTTTGGCGTCTCACCAACCTGAATGTACTGTATGACCATAGGGCTTTTTGTTTTAATGTTGCTTCATTCCTTAATACGGAAATGCTATTGCATTATAAGGGTATAAACCTCTAAATTAGATCTTTCTACTTCCTCCTAATTGGAGCAGATATCCTATGATAGAACCAAAGTTCAGGTTCAATCAGTCACTCGCTGATAATATGTCAACCTTTCCTCAGAGGCAAAGACTATAGTGCCGCCAGAGGGGAGAACGAAAGCCTTAGCCTCGTCCTTCGATGCTGAGGTGCGCCCCCTGATAGACCTGGTCGACAAATTACGTGGGTATGGTCTGGACAGAGACATCAACCTTCCCGCCGTCGCCGTCATCGGGGACCAGAGTGCCGGCAAGAGCTCTGTTCTTGAAGCAATCTCTGGCGTACAACTTCCAAGAGGAACGGGTAAGTCTTTTAACTACAATGACTTGTAAAAGCAAATGGGCGCACGGAAGGTACATTTGTACATCAAAATCAATTAACACGAACTTTGGTTTGGCATGTTGAAAGCTTGACAAATACATTGTGATATAAATATTTGTTGGTCATGGTCATCTCGGGCAAGTTTGAAAAGGGCCCGATGTACCTTGAGCATGTCGGTGTCTAGCATCTACCTGGGTCAATAATGACCAGCTTTATGGATAAACTTTGAGTCTTACATTTCGCGACGTTTATGTACATATTGTTGTAGCGTTATCAAGCAGGAATATACAATGAAGTGGCTCACTGACTGAGTTTGGTTTTTACGCCGCTTTTAGCAATTGTTGTATAGGGGTTACTTGAGCAATTTATCGTCCATTTTGAATTTATAATGAGACACCTGGACACCTGGTGTGTCTATTGTTAGATGGTGAGTCTTTGTCTCAGGTCTATAGTGAGATCTATGGTGTGAACACCTGGTGTGTCTATTTTTAGAATAATAAAAGGTCCCCCTGAACAGCCCTCCATACAGTGTTTCAGTCACTACACCTAGTGATTACACATTGTGGATATACCAGTGTATTTCTTATGGTATTACTAATCAACCTTGGATTATACTATGTGATTCACTGGGTTCATATTTTCAATAGCTCAGCCTCTCAACTACACATCTCTGGAGTAATTAAACATTGTGTATATTTCTCACTGGATTACAAAACATCTTTGGATTATACAATAGAATCACTACACATTATACTAACAGTGTATTTCTCTTTTATCTCAAAGCGAGCGCCCGTTATCGCAGTATCAATTCCCGTCTGACTAACTATAACTATTAAAATGTGAAATTCAAATGTATACAACGTCCTACCTTCAGTCCTTACATTGTAACACAGAATACATTGTAACACAGATTAAAATTTACATCATCATCAGATTGAACGAGTGTTGGGGATAAAGACGAGTGTACATGAAGTCAACTTACCTCTGTTCATCATATCCATTGTTGAGGCAAACAGTGGTGGTAAATCTAGATGTTTAGAGGGGTTGGAACAAGTAACCCATTCATGTGAAGAAACAGATTGATTCATACTGTACTCCAACAATGAATGACTCATTTGCCCACCCGTAAGTCCGACCTACAGCCATTCAAAGCTATGTTTACGGAAGGAATCCCTCTCCCACCCAAGCATGAAGATTAAGAAAACAAGCGTATAATGGAGTGAAAAATAAATAACTTCAAATACATGTTACCGAGTGTCCATGTTAATACTTTCTTTTAATTTACGACAGCCTCCGAGTGAGGTGTGCCATGTTCATTCTGCCATAACATTGCCTCTCCCTACGTTCAATGAACCGATAAGCATGACGGCCTTCACGCCCATTGAAGAAACCAGGTCATAGACCGCGTCCCCCGCCGCCATTTTGAAAAAATGATAAATAAATAGATTTAAACAAATAACAAAGTCCTAGCCATGCCCGCCGATGAAAAACTGAGTGAAATGTTGAAACTCATAGCGAAATCACACACAGCATGCTTCTCACCAAAGTATCCCATGTAGAACGAGTCACCATGAACTTACGTTTTAAAAATCCCACATAATCATATGAATAAATACAGCCCGATACACAGAATACAACCTATAGATAGTTGATTACACATGACTCGTATATACCATGAGCCTACTTTAAAACTCACACACAATCACATGAATAAACACAGCCTGATACACACACAGGATACGATCGATAGAAAGTTGACATGACTCCCGTTTGCCACGAATCATTAAATCCCAACACAATAAAAACACATATAGTCAGAACCTTTTCCTAGATTCATCGTTTTTTCTAAACTATAGCTTGCATAAAACCAATTTTAGTGCGTAGATGTACTCGCATTGTTAACATGTGTACTCACGATACTGTCGTCAACAACATTATTCACACAATACGTTCATACGCAAAAATACTCACAAATTAGAATAGAGAATGATCCATCACATAAATTCCACACCTACTGTGCTGTTTTAAACGGTCATGAAACCGCCAGAATACCTAAACACGCACAGCACAACATACCGGCTGCACACGGCGGTGAACAAAGAGCATTCAAGCTTGGCGCCAACAGCCCCTGCCTAAAACCGCTTCTGCCAAACCGGTTCGCAAAAGGGTCTATCAAACCGGTTCGCAAACGGTTCTGACTCAAAATGGCTACATGTCCAAACCGGCTACATGTCCAAAACGGTTATGTAGACCAAAAATGGCTTTACAACACTAGTGTAATAGCTTATGTATTTATAAACCGTTTATATATATATTTATATAAATATATTCATTACAGATCATTAAAACTGTTGTTGTATTCAATACAATGAACTGTAACAGTTGTTGTATTCAATACAATGAACTGTAACAGTTGTTATCTTCAATACCATGAACTGAAACAGTTGTTACATTGTATTCAATCAACAGGAATGACGATTAAACTGAAACTTGTATGTCTGATACTAGTATGATCATGTTAAACATTTTCGTGGATTCAGAGAAATAGGGTTGAAATTGGTATTATAAAAACCAAGAATTGTACAACAATTGTTTTATGTCAATCCTCCAGCAATACATTCAGTGAGTCTAGTACACTCTTAGCAGCTCTATGGCGGTGGTCTGTACATAATGTACATAATCGAGCCTGGACCAGACAATCCAGTGATCAACAGCATGAGCGTCATTCTACACCATCTCCCATGTGTCAGCCAGCGAGCCTGACCACCCGATCCCGTTAGTCACCTCTTATGACAAGCATGGGTTACTGAAGGGTAACCCAGAGGTACAATACATTAAGAAACAAGAGAGATATACAGATTTCATTGTTTATTAGCTCTGTTTCAAATGAGTAGACATTAGGATAGGAGCTCTCCCAAATGCCTACTTTACATCTGTTGTCTTATTACCCTTCATCATCATCCACCTGTCCTTCACTCTCTTCATCAGATGTTATGTCTTCATCTTCGGTCATGCCTTCGACCCAAGACTTATATTGGTACAATTTTGAAATCACTTCATGATACATATTATTTGTGTCTTTTACTTGTTTCAGTATTCCTTGTGTCTTTGGACCATACTGCATATGGTACAGATAAGTAATAAATCGGGCATACGTCTCTTTAAACGTGCTCCAGATCAATTTGTTCAGTTTGGCTTGAATCATGTCTTCGTTTAAACCTCTTTTTATGTACAGCTGTCGTTTCTCATCCAAAAAGTCTTTATTCAGCTCACGCGTACGTGAATACATTTGTCTTATACCTTGCTCTTCGAGATCAGCCATCTTATTTTTCCTGTTGCCATGTGTGACATCGCTTAATGATTCAACATCATCGTCCTCATTTTCCATTTCAGGACATTGTTTATCGTGTAAATGTCTTTGTAAGTTATGGTTAGTGCTAAACACTTGACCACAATAGTCACAATCCACCAGAGGACGTGGTCTCTTTACAGGTGAGAAGTTGTTGTCTTCCTCCCACTGCCTTTTCACTTGGGGTATCCCAGGAGGACCCACTGAAGACTTTTCGGGACACCAGTTTCTTCTGTGTTTTTGCAAATCTTGCACATCTTGAAACACGAGTCCACAGGCATCACAAGACGGCATGGTTGTGAGGTTGTCTTCACACGTCTGCTCACGCTGAACATCTAACTCGGACTGAATTGTCCTGGCTTGGAGGTGTCCTTTTAAGCTGAATGCATTGGGACAAAGTCGCCTATGGGGAGGTGTTTGGGGTTTTAGATCAACCAACAAGTAGCCATAAGGCTTCTGGGTAGCCCTTTGAAACGGCTCCATGAAATGGTCTGTGTTACCTGGATACATTTGCCTGGCCAAAGTCATGATGGGTTGTTGATCGATAGGGTTGTTGAACAGAAGCAGATAATGACAGTTTCTTCGTTGTGTGGGATCCTTACTGAAATACAAATTCTGGTTCAAGGCGATCACTGAGAGATTACGATGATGACTTCCTTCCGTAAACAGATCTGTAATGCGTGGATCTTTGCTGGCAGTAGACATTAAGTCATCGAGGATAACCACGTTCACCACACTGGGGTCTAGAAATGTATCCTTTTCCAGATCAGAAGGAATGCCTTGATGAAATTCCACATAGGGATAAACATGGGTTTGAATGGCATTATACAAGGGCTGCCATCGTTTGTAGAGCCATATAATACGTTCAGGATAAGGTTTAATGTTCATCCTTTCTAGAATCTGTTTTACTAAGTAGGTTTTCCCACAGGAGGTTGGCCCTGAGACAATCATGGTGAAGGGGTGAATCAGTCTACATTCTTCCAATGACTGGGTAATACTTTCTGACGAATGTGGCTGCTGCTGCTGCTGCTGCTGCTGCTGTGGAGGAGGAGGAGGAGGAGAGGTTGTGACGGCTGCTGCTGCTGCTGCTGCTGCTGCTGCTTGATATCTTTGGATGTTTTGTTCGAATATGACGGGACAAGTCATGAGCCCAAACATATTGTTTGGAGCATACGGGACAGGGATGCATAATAATGTTCACACGTCAACAGTCCTACTACAAATGACACATTTAGCCTTTTGTCTCTATTTAAAAATATGTTTTCATTCGCTTTGTGTTTTCCCTATTGACGGCACTTTCCTTTCTCTCTTTAACTTGGCTTTAGCTTGTTCGACCACTTGTTGAGTAGGGGTAACGAAATTAATCTTAGGTTGTTCTGTGGTTTCTGGTTTTGTTTGTCTTTCTTCCACTCTGGATCATACAGTTCCAAATATCGTTCAACAGACAACATGGCAGATTTTTCTCCTCCACGTGTTATAGAATGATAAGGGTCTCCCTTTCCCTTCAGCCCTGAGCATGTAAAATCGTGTCCATTTTTCGGCATCCGCACGAAGAGTTTGTATCGTGGATTATTCATGATGAAAACGGGAGCGGTCTGAGGTGATGCGTCACTGTCACTGGTCCACGGCTAAATGAAGTTAGATAGTCCTTGTGGCCTGTTATATAGATATCTTCATTGACCTTGGGCTTGGTATAGCTTTCAACGTCGCTGCCAGGATGGTTCGGATGCACTACTATGACAAACTAAACCAGGTGTACCAAACATACTAAGCCAATGCTCTATCATACAACCAGGCATTTTGAATGGCCTCATCTCTAAGTGCATTGACAAACTGTGGTTTCAAAACAAATACTACGATTGGCATGTTGCTGGCAAAAAAGACTCTTCCACCTACTGTCTGTCGTCCACAGGGGGTGAACTAATCTTCGTAACACCGCTAGATAGTTATTTCTATCATTTTTCCTCAGGAAACGACGCCTTTCATATCGAGTCACTGGTAATCTTCCCTTTAATAACCTATTGATAATACCATTGATGGCAAGAATCTGTTCTCTGTTCATTTCTAAGATGTCTTGTCGAATCTCCTCAATGTCTTGAAACATTAACATGAACCTTAAAAAATTCGTAATGCTTCAACACGTACCTAGCCATACTATTTCAAGCAAACAAACTCTTATCGCGGTTGGGATCTCAGTGAGATTAGTATTGAGTCAACCTCTATTTATACTATACATAGACAACCAAGGCAGACATACTCTTAACATTGATTTATTTCCAATAGTCACACATTTTACATCACACTCTTGGTTGCAAATCCACATGACTACCCCAACGGGTCACCTCTTTCTGAGGTACTCCCACCAGGGCCAAATACGGACAATCTGGAGACCATTTTTCATGTTCGGCCCAGGGATCATCATCTACTTCCCAGTTCTTGAGAATGAGACCACATTGAAAACACTTGCAAGCGTCCCCCTCTGATTAAGTACACAAATCCTGCCTGAGCCATGTGACTAGGACTCTGTTTCATCTGCACTGGCCAGTCTTTAAACGAATCGAGTCTTTTCTGGAATGAAGTCCATTCAGTCTTGATTGCACAGCAATCGAGTGTCTTGTCGAATGGGTAATGTCCACACACATCCATGGTCCTATGGTAACACGTCCGCACAGTACAACGTCTAAACCAAGAATGGCTTTACACCCAGTAACTGTAGTCACTAGGGTTGCAAAAAGGAACACTGGAAGTATCCCATCTGGTTTTGATGATCGTCCTGAAGCATACAGGGTACCATGTCCTTCAGTTCTGGCACAAAGTCTGACATGACTCTTACACAATCTACCAGCTTTTCCCACTGATCTAGGGACAACAGAATACATTGGTTGGTAGGTATCACTCTACCACTTTTCTGATCATTCTCCCACTGTCGCACATCAATACCATTGTCGTCCCAGGAAACGTACATGTTCCCTCCAACATGGACGTGTGAGTACCTTCCCTGCTGTTTCAGCTGCACGTGAACACTAGACACTTCAAGCCAGTGTTTCAAGGTAAGCACAATGCCTCGTTTGGTTGGGTAGCACTTGCCACTCGGGTATACTTCGTACTTCCTCACATGAATTTCTAGTTTTCCATTCCATGTCTTGGCTGTCACATAGACGTCGTCCCCTAGATGTAAATGGCATCTGGGATTTGGAAGTGTTAACAGGGCTTCGTTATCACAACTCTCACGGTGAACGGCTTCCATCTTCGAGGTAAACAGCTATCAGTAGAGTCAAGAACATAAGATCCGTACGTAGCCCGACTGAAGTCAGAATGATATGGAGGACTGTTCGGGGGGGACTTTATATACCCACCCGAGTCTAAAAATAGACCTGAGACAAAGACTCATCATCTAAAAATAGACACACCAGATGTTCACACCATAGATCTCACTATAGACCTGAGACAAAGACTCACCATCTAACAATAGACACACCAGGTGTCCAGGTGTCTCATTATAAATTCAAAATGGACGATAAATTGCTCAAGTAACCCCTATACAACAAGCAATATTACAGCAATATCACGGCGGGGGACACCAGAAATGGGCTTCACACATTGTACTCATGTGTGGAATCGAACCCGGGTCTTCGGCATGACGAGCAAACGCTTTAACCACTAGGCTACCCCACCGCCCCAACTAAACTGTTAAGCCAACTCAGACCTTTTACCTCAACATACACACCAAATGAATGCTAAAATCTAGCATATCCATCACCACTGCACATATCCACAAGCCCCACCCCCAACTACACCCCCACCCACTACTACACTATACCCCCACCCTTCCACCCCCACACCCCACACACACTACCACCCACGCACGCATACTCTTACACATTTCCCCATTTAACTAAACTTACAATCACATACATAGGCTGATAACATTTCAAGAATTCATCATGCATCATTCATTCATGCAAATACATGTATGTACATACATAAAACGTTACAGGACCATAAAAATAATTAACATTACACATGCTGCACATAACTTATTTTTAAAATCAATTAAAAACGTACAATTAAAATAGTAGATTACAGATTAATTTACAAGATTACGTCTTCTAGCAATAGGGCATCTCCTAACTTTTTTTGAATTTCAATATTTGCGTTAAGTAGATACGTTTTTCGGGTGAAGTGAGATTTGTGAAATATGGTATCACGGAATTATCTTTCAAAAGTTCATATCTGATATCTTCGTAAGTGGGACAGTCTATCAGAAAACGTGTTTCGTCCTCGGTCACATCACAGAACGGACAGCGGCGCTCGTCCAGTGGGGTTACAGGTCTGCTATAGCGTCCAGTTTCTGTGGTCAGAGGTATAGTCTCGCATCGAAAGTTATCTAACCCTTTACTTTTATATCTTGGCATTGAGCAACAAAGATATGGTACCCTATCTTTCTTGAATGTCCGATATGTCCTCAATTTAATGCCCTTTGTAAACTTTTTTATCGGTCCGCAGTTCTTTAAATCACAATTCATCATCAAATTTGCTGTTCAACTGCTGTTTAATCATTTTGTTGGAATCATTCACACTATTCCAACTCATCAAGTCCAGGTTGAATGTAGGTTTGTGAGCAAGGGAGATAACTCGTGACAAATACGACTTCCTTCTACGACGAAACCATGAAAGAACACAATTTAGTAGATTACTATTCTGTGGAGTAAGTCTTGAATACAATCTGAATACATGTACTTCAATTCTTTTCTGAAGGCAACTGTTCCATCCCATTTCGGCACATCCAGATGTAGATTTAGGTACACCAAATAAGAAGTGGCATGCTCGGTTTTGTACAGAATTAATGCAGCTGTGCTCTGTCAATCCCCAGAGGGCTGTTCCATACAGAAGAACAGGTTTTACAACAGCTTCATACAGTCTTGTAAATGTACTGTGGGCCATTTCACCAGCCTTCATACACTTAGATTGAATGCATGAGAGGGCCTTGCCATCCTCGATTGTTAAGTTTATACCATAAACGTTCACGGTTGATATTGTCAAACGCTTTCCTCGAGTCAATAAAAAACAAGGAAACGTACTTTGTTTCGACCCTTTTCTGTTATTGACAACTGTGTACAGAGTATATATACTGGCCACATAAAGAAACTGTGCACACAGAAAATATAAAGATATTCAGACAGTGTCTTCATACATAAATAAAGGTGTGAACATAGCAAGTATTGGAGACAATCAAACGCTCATGCAGGTGCCAGGCGACGTGACGTCATTGATGGTGGCCTATGGACTTGTAATGTGTTACTGCACGTGCAACCCAGAAATTGCTGTCACTGTCGAAAGCTTGATCTTTGCTCATTCAAACGTTCACAAATTCACATGAAAAGTCACATGCACATCAAGCCAAGATTAACATCTGCTCAACGTCATGAAGCCATTGGAATGGTTCGAGCAGGCATGAGCCAACAACAGGTGGCAGCACATTTCCAATGCCATCGTAACACGATATCTGCATTTGTCAGGCGTTAGGGAAACAGTAATGACGTCGCCGACCACCCATGTTCTGGGCGTCCCCGAGTAACGACGCCAAGACAGGACAGATGGATGCGTGTGACTGATCTCAGACACAGGTTCCAGACGGCAGTGACCACGTCCCAAACCATTCCCCAGGCCTTCAATGTTCATTTATCTATGCGTCGTCGATGCACTGCTGTGCTTCACGAGCATAATGGCCATACCCGTTATTGACTGTGACTTCGAGGTGTGACCCCCTACACAATTGTGAACTTCTGACGTCATCGTTACGGATATTGTTCATGTTCTCTTGACATGTTGTTGTGGCTCGATACTTCAGCTTATAAAGTGTCGACATCATTTCATCTTGTCTGTGTTGTATTCCAATTCTGAAGGAATGTTCTGTGTGCCCAGTTTTTTTATGTGGCTAGTATATATGACCAAGACAACTGCGCATAGTTCATCAACTAGCAAGTCATTTTCTTCCTACCATTTATAAATTTTCTGGTTTAATATTATCACAAAATATTTTTCAAGGGACTGAATGGAGTGTAATTCCTCTGTAGGTTGATGGCGCATGTACGTCAGTGCTCCCAGGTTAAATTATAGGGTTAATTATTCCTTGTCTCCACACTGCAGATGTTAACCCATGCTGAAAGCAGTACTTTAATATCTTATGTGATAAGAGTGTACTATTGTCATTTTGCAGAGTTTCTGCTAGTATTTCATCTACACCGGTTGCCGTGTGTTTCTTAGCTTTTGTCGCTGCTGCTCTCACTTCACCTAAGGTGATTGGATCGTCTAAAGGTGTATCATTATTGCTATCAGTTGCTTCAAGTTGGGACATCAGATTTTCATCACATGTTCATCATAAAAAAACATCTGTTGGCTGTGCATTATATCATTGTTTCTTTCATTTTTCCAATATCATTTGAACATCTGAAATTACCTCAACATTTTCACATTTCAAGAGGAATTTGATTCTTGCCATCATTCGCCAGTCCCAATTTACCAATTTCTGTCTAAAAGTCACCATCGAAATGTAGGTCGAAAAGTAAGGAGAGTGATTCCTGTTTGTCCAGTTGAAATGGGCGTTTATATTTCTTGTGTGATGTATCAAAGTTATTCGTGCAGATTGCAAATTATGTTTAAAGTTTTTCTTCATTGGGTTGGATCCTTTACATTTCAGCCATCTCCTTCCTGCATAGTTAACTTTATTCCATTCTTCTTGAAATTGATCATTCCAGTAAGATTTAGTATGACATTTCTCTTTCACAGCTTTATGTTTGTACAGATTTTTCCGTGGGGCTTTATTTTCTAATTCTGTGTGAATTAATTATACTTGTTCATCATAAGCTGAATCGATATCTTTTGTAATAGACAGTTCATTTTCGATCTTCGCAACTGTTGTTTTTACGGCTGCTTCCCTGCTGGCAGTTAATAGGAAGTCGAAGGGGAGTAACAAAACATAAACATGCATTCGTGTTTGTAGGTATTGTGACAAGGTGCCCGTTGGAGATGCGGATGAAGCACTCAGAGGATGAGGACAAGTGGGAGGGAAAGATAATGTATACGGACAAGCATGATGAGCCCCACCAGGAAGTCATCCTGAACAGAGAGAGCGTCGGAGATCTTGTGCGGAAAGGTTGTTAAACAATGAAACGTACTGTTTTGTATGTGTTTTCGCAATATTAACTAAACATCAAGTTGGGAAACAAATATATTGGTTTGGATGTGGAATAACTGTACAATTGAAACTTATTCAAGTAATATTTTCGCGTACATATACTAGTATACTAACTGCGTGTCAGTATGGAAACTACATTTTTGTCTGATTCATCAATCGGCAAGGTTTCAACTCTGTTTACTTAGATTTCTACCAGGGATGTTGTCGTTTCTCTTGAAATATGCATTTGATATGTTCCATGCATGCAGCACAGAAGGAAATGACCGATAGCGCCAAGGGAATTAGTGATGAACTCATTACGCTTGAAGTGACGTCATCAGATGTCCCTGACCTTACCGTCATAGACCTGCCAGGTATCGCAAGGAACGCTGTCGAGGGTCAGCCGGTTGATATCGAAGCGAGGGTAAGATGTCATCACAGTAATACTCATTTTCTAAACATGTAATTCCATCAGAAATAATTAGGGTTTGCACATATTCCCAGAATTGTACCAATTCTTATCAACACCCTTGTCGAAATAAGGTTGAGAACGTATCATTTCAAATATTTATTTAAAACATGGATATGTATATAGCAGTTTATATGGATGTCACAATGGTGTCATCCAGTGAATCAGATGGTAAATGAGACGTTTCATTGTTATTACCATTTAATATCTCCATTCGAACAATCAGAATACATTTTCAAGAATAGTTGCCCAATATATCTGTAGACACCTGTGTATTTTATGCTAATATCTATATCCCATGAGCAGTATACAACACTCTGGGAACATCGAGTTTTTAACATTATAAACAATGAATTATACTAAAAACGTTATTTTCTTCTTTTCAGATTAAAAATATGATCCGTCAATATATTGAGCGCCAGGAGACTATCATACTTGCTGTTCTACAGTGTAATGTCGATATAGCTACTTGTGAAGCGCTCAAAATGGCTAAGGAATTTGATGACGAAGGTGGAAGAACTCTGGGTACGAACATAAACGCATGGCATAAAGCTATGAATTTTGAGTCTGGGATTCGAATCTGCCATGGGACTCAACCCCAAATGTACTAGAATCTGTGCTTTATTGAGAAGGTGTAATCCCAAATATAACATATCTCCAAATTTGTCAATATACTTTCATGTACACATGATGATGATTGGGTTCAACATTGTTTAATGTTTCATAAGCGATATTAAAAGAAAAGATGACTATTATTGTACCTTACGCTTTCGTGTACGTTGTACATGTGACGATTACCTGATGTCGCTATGTAGTCAAAGGGTAAATGAATCTGTGCAGGGGTTCTAACTAAGCCGGATTTGCTGGACAGGGGAGCCGAGACCGGTGTAATGAGGATCCTGAACAACATGGAGTTCACACTGTCCAAGGGCTACATCATTGTCAAGTGTCGAGGTCAGGAGGCTATATCGGAAGGCCAGTCTTTGAAACATGCACTGGATGTAGAAGAAGATTTCTTTAAAAGTCACAGACATTTCAGGTAGTGTAGTAATACCAGTGAAATGCATGCGACATATCTCGACTTTGTACATCTAAAGTTAAAACACATGTGCGGTTGACACGCCAGACCAGTATACCTATACCACACTTGATGTGACTGCATTTCATTGTCTACTTCCGTTTAATTTCGGGTTTGGATAACACGATTGAAATATGTAATTATAAAAAAAATATAGTTAGCGAAACACCACGCGTATTGAAACATTCATTTGATTTGATAAAGAATTATTGTTATGTTTCACATTTTCCAGCTCTTTGGGACCTTCTCAGTGGGGAATCCCCAACCTATCACGGCGACTGTCACGTGAACTAAAGAAACACATCAAGGTATATATAGAACAGCTTTTCTGAAATATTCTTTTCACGTGTACTCTCTCATTATATATCTGGGATTTTAGATTCAAAAGTGTAAAGCTTCTCGATTACCCTAACTGTTGGGAATTGATTATGGTTGCCTAAAATACAAGACACATGTATGATACGTAAATACTCAACTGATTCTTTTTCTGTAAAGTTCTTTGCAACTATGACCATGACTCAAAAGTATGTTTTGACATTTTGTGCTGAGGCCATTCATACACTTTCCAACAGGTTTGTTGTTAACACAGCTCATGAACAATGTTGTAGAAACTGTTACCGGAACTGAAGGAGGATATACGCCGCAAACTCCTTGAGACGGAGCGGAAGTTGCATGAGCTCGGAGAGGATCCTCCACAAACAGCCTCAGAAAAACGTCAGATGGCTCTCCAGGTACATCAGAGAATGGGGCTTAACTGCACTCGTAACAATATTCTTGCCATACAAGATGTATTGAGTTCTGTAATTCGCGAATAGAAATACACAGATATTAGCAACAGAATATAACTGTTTAAGGCCAGTTAATTATAACTCTTTCCTTTTACAGTCCGATTAAGCCTCTACGGTTAGCTCAAATGGTGTATATACGTTATCGTATGCTTAGCTTGACATGAGGGAGATGCTTTTGACAGATGGTCACCGAGTTTATTAGGGTTACCACCTCCTTGGCGAATGGAGAACGCTGTAATGACAACAAGTTTCCGCAAACGATTAACAACCTCTTCAGCGATGCTCGTCGGTCATTCGCAGATCTGCATAAATGTGCTGTGCGGGAACAACCAGGTATCAATATCAACAAAAACTCTACTATCAATTTGAAAGAAAACAAATAGTTAAAAACCACCAGAGAACTTTCATAGCCACATGCTTAGCCTTATTACAAACATGTCCTAGTTCAGTACACTATATTTATACAAAATATGACGGAAATGTGCATTTCAGCACAGTAAAGGGTAACCAGCAGGTGTATTGTACAAGAAATTCTTGTTAGTAAGTTTTCCGAGGATAAATGAACGAATGTTTGTTACGTTTTCTTACCGGAGCTTTAATGAGTTTCTATGGGTATTTTCCTGTGGTGTCAAACTTTTGAAAAAGGTGTTTATTACATGGGTATCAATTGATAAGTTCTGTCTGTTGAAAAGAACAATTACTAATTCATGAATCTTGAAATGGGTCTCACACACACACACACACACACACACACACACACACAACACACACACACACACACACACACACACACAAACACACACACACACACACACACACACACACACACACACACACACACACCACCTTCCCTCAGATACCCACACTATTGCTATTGCATGTTCGATTCGATTAAATTATAAAATGAACCTGAACATTCAAAAGATATATTATTACATCGTAGAACCACAGGGCGCGATTGGTCTATACAAATTAGCACAAGGTACACAGTGTCCGATTGGTATGGTAAACTTAAACTGTAGTTAAATTTTAAAATAAATCAGGACACTGCGTACCTCGTCTTAATTTGTTTAGACCAATCGTGTCCTGTGGTTCTATTCGAATAAATGAGGAAGAACAAAGGGACATACACACAGATTTACCTGTTTCTAGATACCACGAGCCGGACATTAAAGACCAAGTTACAACAGATGATGGAAGCTTCCCGAGGTCGGGAGTTTTGTAATTTTCTGGGCAAATATGAGCTGGTGGAAAGTTATGCTCGGGAATACATCTCCAAACTGGAACAACCTGCACTTCAATGCTTCGATGAGGTCCATAGAAAGACGACAGAAAGCCTGAAGATTCTAGCAGAAAAATGTTTTGAGAAATTTCCTGATTTTGCAGAGAGAGCTAAGGTGTTTAGCATATTGTAATTTATTCTCTACAATATGTTTTAGCGATATGAGTGAAAATCACTTTTCATAATGTGTATGTTGTGCACGGTAATGTAGTGTGAAGATGTTTCATTATTTATTGACCAAATAATCCTGTGACAGCACACATTATGAACATTGAATGAAATATATCTTTATCTTATGTCACAATTACATTCATCCTGTTGGTTTCCTTTCTCTTCGACTTAACTTGTTCTACACATATCATTGCGGCTAAGGCTATGTGACGAGACCACACTCCTATCGGTGTGCCAGCAGAGGTGCAGATTACAAAGGGTCATGCAGATCTTAGGAAGAGAATTGTACCTAGTACCAAAACGACTGAAGAGAGCGTGAAATCATAACATTTGCTTCGTAAACCTTTATCTCAACAGGGCCATTTGCACTGGATGAATGATGTTCCTTTGTTGCTGTTTTACATTGTTGGCAGCATTATACCCGTCATATGATAAATACGAATTATGACTGGGAGTAATGTCACCATAAGACATCATATATCCAAGACAGTAGATATCCAAGGGTGATAATTCTTCTTCGGATAAACAACGTTCTCTACATGTGTAGATAATATACAAGGTGAAATAAAAAGACATGGGGTAAAAAAATATTACGCCTGATTCACGTACATAAAACAATATAGAGGTTAGCAAGGCATGATGAGAAAAACAACTGAGTGATTGGTATGTACAGGTTGATTGGAAGCCAGTATCAGAGAGTGAGTGTGTAGAATGATGCATGGATTCATGCAAGCACGCACGCAGGCACGCACATGGATTGATTTGGTGGTGTGGGACTTTTTCCATTTTTTCTTACAGCACACACATATACAGCCGTTTGCGGGCGTGGGCCCTTTTGCATCTTGGGATATACTATTCTCACTTTGCTAAGGATCAAATCATTGATTCAACAGAAAACTACGATGTGGTTTAAATATCTACATGTAAGCTTATAATTATGGTAAGCATGAATCCTAGGTTTCAGTATGTCTTGTGCATCCCATACCTGCTGTTGACAGGTGTTGTTTGATTGTCAATTACTCGTTCCATGATTTGCGAAATGGTTGATTGGTGCCATGAAAACTTTTTTTATGGTTACTCATGTATCAAATGCATAAGGTTAGGTTAAAATGTCCGTTTGCTAAAGAGGTTTTACCATATCATTATTTATCCAGTTTTAAATGGATACAATTTCACATTATAAATCTATGTTTAAGTAAAGTGGTGAATTTATGTGATCCTTAGCAAAGTGTAAGGAGTATATGTTGTGAAGGTTCAGGATGAGGATGTAAATTTTGCATCACGAGTGACATCACGAGTTTGTTTTCCATTTTTCTGGACTCTAATATCGGTGAAGGGGAGCTTGTTGTAGATATTTAGGTTGGCAATAAGGTAGATGCGGCGGGGAATACCCCTGAATTCTCTTCCCTGATTCTTCATATCAACTTGTAAATACATTTAAAGCAGTTATGTAGCTGTTTATTATATCGGATGCGTGATGTTGAAACCATGTATATGACATCGTTATTCTTGTATAATGTTTCCGTTTTCTGCATGTTTCAGGAAGTTATAATGAAGACTCGGAAACAGACCCAAAATGAGTTGCAAAGACGAAATACTGAGGTATTTCAGGATGGAGAATCTGGTGTACTCTCAGGACACTACGTATTGCGTCGTACTTCGTGAGTGGTCAAAACAAATAATGTAATCGTTACAAAAACTGGTCCCTCAGAGGATGCTGTAGGTTACTCAACACCAAAGGTTTTCCCATAGACTTCTATAGTAACCTTATATTTTTAAAGAAATTATACAGGCTATCAACAGCCATTCCAGGTACGCATGGGTCCAGTCTGGCCTTTATACTACAATAAAACACAATTTCTGGCCAACTTGTCCAGCTAATATTCCGAGCACAGGAAGCGGAACACGTTAACTCCAGATACGCACCAAATGTCACCTACTGGAAAATATCTGTACACACAATAAGCATAAGTGATGGTGATAACAATGACAACACTAAATACTTAAACTTGTGGTCAGTATTAATTACTAAATGGATGTACATTTAATAAACATATAAATCTTACACTATTTCATCCAATTCAAAGACAGGTGAACAGTTAGTATTTTGTCATGTCACCATGGGCAGTAATGCAGGCTTCAATGCGGTGGGGCATACTACTGATCAAAGAAGTTAGAAAGTCGTGGTCCATGCTGTCCCAATATCGGACCACCTCTTCTTTCATTTCAGCAATATTTGTCAGATTTTTCTTATTGACACTTTCCTTCATAAGTCCCCAAACATTTTCTATTGGATTTAGGTCAGGGCTATAGCTTGGCCAATCTAATAATGTCATATTTTGGGTCCGAAACCAGGCCTGTGAATGCTTTGAACGATGTTTTGGGTCGTTGTCCTGATGGAAAATCCAAACATTTCCATAGAACACGTGAGCAGATGGAAGTAAATGTCCCTCGAGAATATCTGTGTACCGCTCACTGTTCATATTCCGTTCAAAGATATGCCACCCCACAGGTTAAATTTCGGACTGTACTTTGGGCGCTGATACAATGGTTTTTCAGTTTGTTTGGTCCAGAATTTCAGTGTATAAGGAAACAGACACACAGAAATTTCATCTGAGAAAATCACATTGTCCCAGTTAAAATTTCTATGCTGTAAGCACCAGTTCAACCTTCGCTCCTTTTGTTCAGGTTTCATGATCGGTGATGGAATTCCTCGACTTTTCTGCCAACCCACTGCACGCAGCTCGGTTCTAATTGTCTCCTTACAGACAGCCACAGTTCCACTATCAATCATATCCAGCCTTAAGTTTTCTAAACTCCTTCGTTTGTTTTTAGAAACTAGAATACCAAGCCGTCTCCTGTCACCGACAGTCAATTTTCTGGTCCTACCTGCGCCTCCCTGCTGCTCATTGCCATGTCCATTTGCAATATTTTTCAAAACACGATAAACAGTGGACAAAGGGATACCTGTTCTACTTGAAATCACTTTAGCTGATCTGATGTCCTTGTTATAATACTCTAAAATCAACTCCCTCTTCTCTAAATCATCCATACTGAGGATCACTGAAAATGCCGTCTGCTAGCAAGTAAACAAAGGGGGATACCTCTTCACAAACTAATGAAAAAAGATTAACGGAGTTATCTCTCTTGAATAAAACCAAGCACTTGATAGCTGGTCAAAGTTGTTTATACTAGAAATCCAATTAAACATATTGCTAAAATTCTCAATAATTTCTGGTCACACTATATAATGAATGCTGAATCAGCCTTCATTTCCAAGGTTCAAAGTTAGTATTGGTATGACTGGTAATACATCACACATCAAAATCTATGTGTTCCAACACTCTGGCTGCTTACCTTCTTCAAAGTAATATGTGAAGGAAATAAGCTTAGTCAAAAATAAAAATACGACCTCCAAATATTCTTTATGGAGGAACTACGTGAGAGTGGAAAACATTAATCAAACCACTGACTGACCTCTCAGGGGATGGTTTAAGAATAATTTCCCTCTGGTTATGTTTTCTGAAATCATGTATGTGATTTATGAGAAAGGTTTGTCTTGGGTCCTTAAGCGCCTATATACTGAATGATGAATCAGCCTTCTGGTTCAAGGTTCACAGTTAGTATTCGTATGATTGGTTATAAATCATATATAATCACCAGATGAAAATGTTTCCTGCTTTCATCGATGAGTGTTGCCATATTTTATTTCGATATACTCATTGATGAGATCATCAGGATACATTCGTGGAGCCTAGTAAAAATAATGAGTACATAGACGATGTCTTTGTGTTTCAACATTCTGGCTACTCACCAGAGATATTCAATCCGTATACAATGCACTCATAAACATTGACTATAGCCATTTTATCCGCTCTAGGAGCAGAGGAAGAGGAAGAAACGAATGGAAGAAGAGGAGGAAAACGAAAAGAAACAGAAGAGCGCGGCAAAATATCACGTTCAGATAGGTACTAGCATATTGATAGGGCTACCATGAAAGAAGGTTTCATTTAATTCGTTAGACTGTATTGTCTGCATTCACCCTTTCGTGTTGATCAAGCCAATGCATGCATTGTTTTAACATGTATAAATATAAATGTATTCAGAGTAATAAATCTTAAATATAGCATTTGTATAAACACTATACCCTTAGAATCGGATCCATATGATACTGAATGTGTATATGCATATCACTTTGATTTAACTTTGGATATATACACGTCTCTTTTTCCTTATCTCAGGCTCTCAAAACGATGAAGATGTGAACGGTGTTGGCAAAGCATTGATAAGTCTAAAATCCTATTACCAGGTAAATCTTTTTAAACATTTGTCAGATATTTCATGTTTGCTATTCCTCCTCGTGCTATTTTATCAATCGTGATAAGTTGATGCCTAATGTCGAGGACTCTCGATTTGAAATGGCACTTTCTCATTAGTAAACTTCGGCTAAGTATTATTCTTTACACTCTATACTGAGTCTAACAAACCCTAGTAGAAGGTCGTGTCAGCTAACCTTTTCAATTGACCAATCAGAACATAGCTTAACAAAATCGCGACAGTAACATTTGCACATAGCGTTTGAACGTTTACCTCGAAACCTCGAACGATTCCGAATGCAATTTTCCACATGATCACTTCCGAGTGATACACAATGAGTAAACAGTCGCTGAATATGGCGTTTTTGTCAATATTCCAGGATGTCATCTTGCGGAAATATAAGCTCACAGTAACCATGTCATCAGAAACCCCTAAGCGTATATACTGCAGGTCAAATATCTGTGTTTTATGCGGATTTACGTTTGTTGAGAGATCAGTGTCAGCGACCGGGTAAGAGAAAATCCAAAAACCGTTTTGTAAGTCCCGCCGAACCCTAAATAGTATCCGTTGTCTGATTGATTAATTTCGTTCGGCCGTCTCGCGTTTGATTGGACGGTCATAGGTCGCTCAAAGGTTAGCTGACGCGACCTTCTACTAAGTTTGTTAGACTCTGTGTAGTTTACTGAGACTGATTACTTTCAATACTTGTCATGATAAATGTCAACGTCATTTATTGTATTGAACATCTTAACCTTTTTAAGTAAATCGCTGGATGGTGGCGTGCATATTTGTTATGGGCAAGATCTGCATTCTGACTTGATACAGCCAATACTTTACGATAATAGGAGGAAATAATTTTCACAACACATATGCCTGAGGACAAACATATATATGTCCACCCAACAACTTTGTGGTTGTAAACCCGGAGGACCAATTATTTGTAAACATTATTTTCTGGAATAAATTAATATATTTTCTTAAACATCCAGCAACCCATCTCAATCCACCCAACCATACCCCCACCATGTCACCAGGATATCACAGGGTTTTGCTATAATCCGACAGTCACTGGTCATTTTTCATAGGTTTGTTTAGGTTATGTTTCCTGGATTTATTTTGAATCTATGGGGATAACTTTTGTTTTATGTGTTTGTTACATTTTAATAAAATACAAAAACATATCTTCACTATTGATGACAAATTCAAAAAAGCATGTCATACTGTCAGTTACAACAGAGATTTAGTGCACAATTTGACAAAAAATGACGGAACTCGTATTCACGTAAATTCAGTACATGTGCACAGAACTCTGGGTACGTCATGCTGTTTGGTTGAATTGTAAAAGGCCGATCCAAACATTTTAAAGTTTTTAAATTAATTGATGTCAACGTTAGTGTTTATACACTCTTAGAAAAAGAAACGCACAGGCCCAAAATAAGGAAATGTATTAAACATATTTAAGTGTACATTTATAAGTCAATTAAACGTGAACATAGACGAAGGAAGTTTGACAGACGTATGAACATATGTATTGTTGTCATTGACAGCCTTGATTCAGTTCACTCACTGCACATGTGTGGATACAAGGGTCAGTACACCGCCTTGGAAGGGATTGCATAAGGTGACGGATGTTTACTTGGGGAATCCTTCGCCATTCCTCCTACAACGCGTTGGCAAGTACTGCAAGTGTCTTTTTACGGACGCGTCGATCAAGTTCGTTCCATAGATGGTCGATTGGGTTCAAATCAGGCGATTTGGAAGGCCAGGGAAGGACATTGACGTTTGCATTGGCGAGATACGCACCTGTCACACGAGCAGTGGAGTCGAGTGTTGAAACAGCTCCCTCTGGCGGTTAATAAGTAGGAGGAGGTGAGGTCGCAGGATTTGGTCGATGTAGCGATTTGCTGTAAGATTGCCTTGAACCATCACTAGCTCTCATCTACCTGTACGATTTCTCCACCAAATCTGTCCACCTGTCGATCGCAGATCGGCGCAAAACGTTCGTTGACACGTTTTCTCCCATCCCGTCGTTCAAGGAAGAAACGCGATTCATCGCTGAACCAAACTCGTCGCCAGTTCCCCTGATCCCATGCCTGTACTCATTGGACACGTCGTCGTCGGAGTATTCGTGTCAGGATAGGTCTAACAGTTGGTCGATATGCTCGCATTCCCACTTCTTTCAGAAAATTTCTGATGGTTTGGTCGGAAATTCTTAGAAGACCAAGCACCTGTCCTCCAGTGTCAGTTGCTGTAGCAACTCGGTGACGTAGGTGAAACACCCTAAAGATTCGGTCCTGAGCAGGAGTCGTCACTCTTTATCTTCCACTTCTGGGACGATCTTGGGTCGAATTGCAGCAGTTATATCAATGCCATTATCGAGATATGGTGCTATGGAGGACGTTGAAGTGTCTTGCAAAGGCAGACTGGAACTTCCCTGCTTCCAAACGTCCAATGGCGACATTTCGGTGAGTAGCATTCAATATTGGCATTTATGTCCTTTGACAATGTATTCAGCGGCGTCCGTACGTCCGCAGACACCAGTCGATTTGGGTGACTTTGACCACTTTTCAAACTCTTGTTAACACGATATCTCATGAAATGTTGTACCCAATGTCTTCAAATTTGGTGACAGCCTACATTGGGTGATTACGCAGACACCAGTCGATTTGGCTGACCTTGACCTTATTTTCAAGGTCACCACGACACTTTGACCACTTTTCAAACTGTTGTTAACGTGATATCTCATGCACTGTTGTACCCAGTGTCTTCAAATTTGGTGACAGCCTACATTGGGGGATTACGCAGACACCACTGTATTTAGGTGACCTTGACCTTATTTTCAAGGTCACCACGACACAACACTTTATAAACTCTTCTTAACACGGCATCTCATCGACTGTTGTACCCAATGTCTTCAAATTTGGTGACAGCCTACATTGGGGGATTACGCAGACACCAGTTGACTTTGGGTGACCTTGACCTTATTTTCGAGGTCACCACGACACTTTTCACACTTTCAACTCTTGTTAACGCGATATCTCATGGACTGTTGTACCCAATGTCATCAAATTTGGTGACAGTTTACATTGGGGTATTACACAGACACCAGTTTATTTGGGTGACCTTGACCTTATCTTCAAGGTCACCACGATACTTTGACCGCTTTTTAAAGGCGATATCTCATAAAACATTGCACCCAATGTTTTCAAGTATGTTGACAGCCTACATTGGGTGATTATGCAGACACCAGTCATTTCAGGCATCTTGTATGTGACCCAAAAATAAAAAGTAGTAAATATAGATATTCCATTCTTTAGCGGCGGGGGACATTGCCACATCAGTGGCAAACACTTGTTTTATCTTCGTTTACGCCGTAAATTTTGTAATGAAATTTGGTTTGGCCTTTTATAGTCGCAGTCTCTCCTCATGTTTCCAACACGTGCATTACGTAGAAAATGTTTTTTGCATGCACTTTTCATGTATCGTTTCCATTTTTTATGACAAATGTTTACAAAAACAATTTGGGATGCGTTTGCGCACAATACCCAACAACCACGACATGATTAACGGGATCCAAACATAGGAATGGTCTTAACGACGATTGCTGTCAAAATATATCGAAATGGACTGCTGAAAACGCCTGTCCGTTTCTTTTTAGAAGAGTGTAGTTCATGTAATAAGGAGAGAGAATGTTGTTTTCAGCAAACCAGTCCTTATAAGTGCATTTCTTTAAGATTGCTGCACGGCGTCTCTGCGACGTCATCCCCATGGTCATACAGCTGCACGTGTTCCGGGAACAAGTGGAGGAGATGCGGATCCTGCTCATGGACATTGCTTCGGACGAAAGAACCATGGTGCACATCCAGGAAGATGCAGACATGGCTTATGTGAGGAGAGAATGCAAGTCTCGTCTCGAGAGACTGCTTCTGGCGGAAGAAGAGCTTGAAAAATCTAGCGTTTATCAATGTCAGTCCTTTCACTTTCATGTTTCTGTCAGATATTTTGTCTTGAAAGTCCATTTGAGATTTCTTTATGTAAAGAAACAATGACATATTGTTTGGTTGTTTTTTTCTATTTGACGCTTTAAAGTTGTTCTAGGTGATGTATTGTCCACTTCTTTCCTTGTCATATCCGAAGTAGCGATGTTCATGACGAGTTACTAAAGTACTGTCGGAAATAGAAAAAAACCCTGTTTTTAGGCTGTTACTCTGTATCCCTAAAATTTACACAACTGCAAATAGCATATGTCGAAATAACCAACTTCGGCCTAACTTGGCATTCAGTGGGATGCGTAATAGGATATCCAGAAAAGCATGTTTACTCGTTAAATCGGGCAAAACTTAGAAAAAATACGAATAGCTGCTGAAAACAATAGATCAGACTATAGATGGCAATTAGGTCGCTCAGCCAGGTATGACGACGGACCGTCGACTCACCTGGCATGAAATGCATGTGCTGCCTACAGGCAAAAAGGGGTCATCTCAAAGATATTTTGTGCTTTTTCATGTGTGTTGACTATGCCTCATCTATTGATTAACATCTTACGTGTCTTTCTATCATAAAGTTTATTTGTAGATGTGTAAAAGAGTATGATACCTGATAACCATAGAAACGCATCGTATTAAATGTCTCAAAATATATAGGTGGCATGACCACCCGATCGCGAAGATCGACAGGACTGGATATTATTTGTAAATTGTTATGACATGCCGTGTACTTCCCCAGTATAATTGCCCTAAAGGATTATCTTATCTTAGCTGATATCTCTATCCCCCAGCCCAACCCCAACGATAGTCTGCGACACCCGTCCAGGTTTTGGCTTTTAAGACGAACCCTATCTGTTTCTTTTTATAGTGACAGTGCGACTGCATTGTAGCTACATCCTTAACAGTTTCAGCATGAAAGTTATTTTTTTTTACGCAAGCCATCTTTTATAATGAAGCTACGGCTAATTTCAAATTGGGCATTTAAAAAGTGTCCTTTGTAATACAATATCGTCGCACGCTAATTTGCATAAAGCCATGGTCTGTTCCAAATAAATCGTTTTGGACTTCGAAAACTGCACTAATCCCTCCTCAGTAAAGTCCTTTTTCTACATTTCCTATCTCACTACCACTGAGACTGTAGTTAGGCCAAACTTAGTTTAACAGATATTTCACACTTGCACATATCAACTGCATAAATTGTAGAGATAAATGAGAAAATACAGTACTTTAATGGCTAAATACATTATATATAGCAACGGCATTTCAGGGAAGTCCAAGAACTTTGTATCTCGTGTAAATACGAAATCACTAAAATGACAAGTGAAAAATAGAGAAATTTCAATTCACCTTAATGAAATCTAAGTGATATAAGTAATAATAATCGATCATTGATGCATGAGATTCCACATACTTGTTTCCACAAATTGTTGACAGTTTGTACAGGAGTTTTAACTCCGATTTCCAATCTAACCGACATTGCATGCTTGTTCCAATTGTGTCTGTGGTAAGAGGCGACTAACCAGATCATGTGGTCAGACACGATGGCATGGTTGATCCTGGTTATTCACAGACTGCCGTCTTATTTATGCAGTTGCAGTTCATGTTGCAGCTGCGCCTTGGCGTGTATGTTTACCCTCTTAAATAGATGAGCTTCAGTGCTGTCTCTATCTTTGAATCCCACAAACCCGTTTTTAACTAAAAATAAAATGAAAGATAGAATTTTATGTTTGTATCATTCTGCTGCTGAACAAAGGTTATGAGAAAGAAAACCAGAAACCAAATGACTACAACATAAACGAATAAGGAAACACAAGTATCATTATCACAGGAAATCTATACCAAGCTGTATATATAATCCTGAACATTGAAGCTGCCAATGATTAATAGCACCTAAACGTGTTTCATAAGTTGAAGTCCGATTTATGACGTGGGCACTAAAATATAATGAAATGTGTTTTGTGTGTATGTCCACCATCAGACGTTATGGTTGACGCGACGTATATTTTTTTTTATCACTTTATTTCTTTTTGATCTGGGTACAGCATATCATGCACATTTAACATTTCAGCATTTTGGTTGCTTTATATAGGTGTCAAATTACAAAGTCATTATCTATGTAAATAGATTGTGGCAAGACGACCAAAATGTAACAAAACTGTCGTATTGGCAGTGAGAGTATGTATTAAATTTGTGTAAGTGGTAATTGTAATTCAATTTTGGTTTCAGACTAGCGAGCGAAGGTACAATGTTTGCTAACTTTCTAGAATATATGTACTCTTTAGTTAATATGAAAATAAAATTCAGTACATCATTTCTTCTCTCTTTGAATCCGAGAATAATGGTTTCTGCGTTTAATTTCAAATGGTGTCTGTTTCATTTTCAATCCATTCTAGTAGATCTTGCCACAGCTTTTTGACATGTTTGCATTCATATAATAAATCATGTACGAATAATCTTCTGATCCATGATATTTTCTGGGACTTAATTGTTTCAAGTATAGCTGGTGCTTTTAGACCACCTTCTTGGTATGTTTTTGTTATCAGACATCGTTTTATTCTACCAGGTTTAACTTATGGCTAAATTGTCTAAACTTGCTGACGGCTGAAGGGATGGTGTAAATCCAGCTAGGGTCCATGCAGGAAGCAGATGTACCGTAAGTCCCCATGGTCCCTAGTATGGTGATCTACCTTCAGTCGTTATCAATCTACAGCCTGTTTTAATATTGTATTGTCATTTCTAGTTCCAATATTTTAGATTTAATTGCTAGTTTTAAATGGATATCTGTGATACACTAGTAGTTTTACTGTTCTTCGTCAACAGGTTTTTTAATTTCTAACTTTGTTTATCTTTAATATAATTATAAAATGTTCTTGTCACGATATAGCTGAAATATTGCCGATGTGACGATAAATATTAACTCACTCACTCACTCTATTAGGTTTACCTTTCCAAATAAAGGAGAAACATTTCTTTTGAAGGTTCACTATCGTTTCTAATTTAGGGTTTGCTAGCGAGGTGAAAAGATGATTAAGTGTCGGTAAAATCAAGCTCTTTAGAATAGTTATTCTTCCTAAAGGTGTAAGGTCTCTCAGAGTCCACATTTTCATTACTTTGTCAATTGTTTTTATTTTATCTTTATAATTCTTTTCCACCATTTCTGCTTTATTATGTTGAAATAGAATGCCTAAGAGTACAAATGGCTTTTGAGTCCAGTCAAGGTTGTATTCTCTGCAGTATTGCAAACTTGAATATTGTTTCGAACCTATCCAAATAACTTTAGTTTTGTTAACATTTATTTTAAGTCCAGAGAAGGATGCGTATATGTTTCAAGTACTTGTAATGTTTCCCTAAAAGAGCGCTCAGACCCGTCTAAAATTATAGTTGTATCATCGGCAAATTGAGTTAGTAGGTATTCTAAATCAATCATCATTATTCCTTTTATCGTTTTGTTTTGTCGTAACATGGGGGCCAGGATTTCTGCTACTATGAGGAATATATACGGCGAGAGGGGATAACCTTGTCTACAACCCCGTGTAATTTGAAAGAATTCTGATGGAAACCCGTTTACAAGAACACTAGAGTTTATGCTATTGTAGAATGTTTTTAGCCAAATTTTGATAGATGGTCCGAAATAAAAGAAGTCAAGACATTTCTCGATAAAAGACCATTCCACCGAATCGAATGCTTTTTCGAAGTCTATAAGTATCAAAAGTCCTGGTTTATTCGTATATTCTGTGTAATCCATCATGTCATTAACCAGTCTTGTACATTCTCCAATGTATCTGCCTTTCATAAATCCCTTTTGGTCTTCACTTACTATATTAGGAAGTATAATTTTAATACGTGCTGATATCACGGCTGAGGCTACTTTATATGATATGTTTAATAGTGAAATGGGTCTATCTTCAGATATTCCTTAGATTTATCTCTCTTGGGGATACATGTTATGAGCCCTTGTTTTTGACTTATAGATAGCTCACCCTTCCTATATGCTTCATTTAATGAATTGATTAGGTATTTATTGATGTCTTTCCAAAATAGTTGATAGAATTCAGCTGTAAAACCTGATGGACCAGGGCATTTTTCATTTTTCATATTTTTCAATGCTGAAAGCGCTTCATCGTATTGTATTTCGCCTTCAAGAGAATGGGCGTCGTTGTCAGATAATCTAGGTATTTCACTATCTTTGAATAAGAATCCTAGATCGACATCTTTGACGTGTTTACTGGTATATAAAGTTTCAAAATATGTCTTTGCATGGTTGATAATATCCTTTGTTTCGCTTATTTGTCCGTCATCAGTTTCTAGCTTAGTTATTGCTTTGTTAAAGAAATTCTGTTTTGCCAGAGATTTGAAGAATTTTGTTGGTTTTTCTCCTTTTTCATACCATTTTGCTTTTGATCTCAATATAATCCCTACTGTTTTGTATTTATTTAATTCAAGTTGTTGATCTTTTATTATGTTAATTTCTTGTATCAATTTTGACTTAGTCTGTTCAATGTCAGTACTGTCTAATTTTACTTCAAGACTTTCAAGTGTTTCATTGTATTCTTCTTCTAATTTTGGTCTTTCTTTCTCTTTCTGGGATGAATATTTTATTGTGTGGCCTCGAATATTGCACATGAGTACTTCGAAAAACAATTGTTCATTTAACTTTAGTACTTTATCTCCATCTTCGTCTCAAGTGTGATATTGATCTACAGTCTCGTTAATATTACCTTGGATTTCTCGCACATATTCGGGATGATGTAACAAACTGTTCTTAAATTTCCAAAAACCCTTTCCTTCACCAAGAGATGTAAATTCAATATGTAACGATATTACTGAGTGATCTGATCTGTAACTATGTTCTATT